GTTCAGGCTTCAGTTTCAGATTTCTATTGGAGTTACAGCATCTCGCATGGTGCAGCACTGCTCAGTACCTTGCTCACTAGATACAGACTCATTTTAACGATACTTAAGAGCAGTACTTGGTAGTGCCACAGTCAACAGATGGAGACTGTTCTGCTGGCAACAGGGTAGAAAAACGTCATTGGCAACAAGTAGCTGAGGCCCAGCTTTAATGATAAACTGGCAATATTATTTCTGTCCCTGAGTTTGCAATTATTTCTGCCTCAGTACTACCTTGTGAGAGGATCCGCAAAATAACCTGAAATAATCAAAGTCTTTCAGCCATATCCTCTGTACATCAAAGGAAGGGACATTAACATTGGAACACTCCATAATTCAAGAACCTACTGACCCATCAGAAGCTGCCAGTAGAAGTACAGCACAGGTTAGATGTAAAGTTTCCTGTAATCTTTTAAAATATAAGTAAAGCTTCATGTACACTATCTCCATCAAAAATCCTGGGAAAAGCACAGAATGGGATGAGAGACAGAGTAAAACTTCCTCCTCACTGGCTCCATCAACCACTTGCAGGACAGGGACAACATGGGTTTAGATACAAAGTAAAGCATCCTCAACTGTTTCAAACTGAAAATAAAGCTCTCTCTACACAGTCGTCATCAAACACTCCCAGGACAGGTACAACTGGGTTTTTCCAGCATTGAGAAAGATCATTTTTGGAGGGAGTTCATTTAATGTTGGACATTTAGCCCAGTGGAGAGGGAACCATGGTTTTTATAGGAACCTAACCCCAAAGGAGAGGGAGTGAGGTTGGGATCTTCATTTCTGCATGACCCTGACACATGGAGGCGAGAGTGTCAAGTTATTTCGATGTGAAACCACATTGTGGGATGGATGTCAAGGGAAGTGACTGATTCTGAGAGTTGATCAAAATCATGGTTAGTAAAACAGTCCATGAGAAGAGGACCAAAGACAGACAGAGAATTGGAGAAAGGAGAAATCTCCAGGGGGTTATGGTCCAGGCATAAACTCTGCTCTGATACTGGGGTGAAAAGTGGGGGAATCAAAAGCCAATAGGAAAAGAGCTAGTCTGGCTGTTTAGAATTTGGGTTAACTGTGCACAGAATCTAAGCAAAGGTTCCTTATTTTATTGGACATGATAAAAAAATGTGGCACAGCCAATAAGTCATTCTGTAGCTGGTTTACAATTCTCATTTTGTCAGATTAGTTGTGCTTATTTCATTCACCATATTAGTTTTGTGCACTGATGTGTTTTTACAAGTCTGTCTGACCTGGCTCCAGGGCCTCATGCAGCCTAGTTCTTTGAATTAATTGTGTTGCTGCTTGTCTAATCTGCACTGTACACTGTAAAGTGCTCTCTCCAGTGAGTATATTAATGTGATGAGCACCAATAAACACTTTCAGCATTCACTTCATCATTGAGCTTCTCCAGAGGATGCTGGGTTGACCAGCAATGCTCAGTCCTCAATTCCCAGTATGTACTGAGTTGGTCATCTCAGGCGGGGTGTGACTAGAGCTGTACGAACAGTCTCAGTGCCCCAGGAAAAATCAGCCATGTTTCCCATTCCTCAGAGAACAGAAACTGAGAATTCTGCAACAGGGAATTCACCTCTTGACTCCCCGAAGCCTATCCATTATTTACGAGGGACAAATCAGGAGTGTAGTGTAATGCCCCTCGCGTATCTGGATGAGTGCAGCTCCAACAGCACTCAAGAAACTTGACACCATCGAGAACAAAGCAGTCTCCTTGATTGACATCTCATCCACAAATATCCACACCCTTCACCACCGATGCTCAGCAACAGCAATGTGTATCATCTACAAGATGCACCGCAGAAATCCTTCATCAGCACCTTCCAAACCTACGACCGCTTCCACCTAGAAAGACAATAGCAGCAAATACTTGGTAGCACCAATGCCTCAAGTTCCTCTCCAAGCCACTCGCTATCCTGACGTGGCAATATATCACCATTCATTTAGTGTCTTTGGGTCCAAATCCTGGAATTCCCTCCATATTGGCATTGTCGGTCAACCTATAGTACATGAACTGCAAGGTTCAGGAAGGCAAATTACTACCACTTTCTCAAGTGCCACTAGGAATGGGCAAATAAACCAGCGATGCCCATTTCCAATCAATGAATAAAAATATCTGATTGCTCACAGGAAGTCCTGACTTCAGCTGTACACTGACTGCTCTCTGGTAATCACAGTGCTAGGGCAGGAGACTGAACTTGAACTCATATGATTCAGTTGGAAGTATTTAATTGAGTTGACTTATTTATTCAGGCAAATAATGCAGACAATCAGCCGGCTTAAATACATGAGCATTTGCCTCACGGGGTTATATTGGAATAACTTAACGCTGTTGCTTGCAGAACTTTTTTTTTGACTAAGAGTTCATCTTTTAGTGACTTTCATGACCTTCAAATCTTACTACTGCTAATCATGTTCAGAATGTGATGACCCATCTGAAGCAATGGGAAGCTTAAACAACAGGAATCCTGGAACCCAGTTCAACGTTAATTATATCAGCTCTTGCCTCTACCAGATAGGGAACAAAGTGCAGGGATTGTGTTCACTGCTGGTATAAGCAAATTCCTGAACTAAGCAAATCATTGTCAAATCCCAATTTGCTGTTCATTCATGAAGTTCTTGCACAGCCAGTCTGTGCAAGCCTGGTTGTCACAATCCTTCTCCCAAGCAGCCTGCATAGCACGCCTGCCAGTTCCTGTTTCTGCTCAGTCAGAATCGTGTGCTGCTATTCAGAGGGCGCAGAGTCACTACACTCTACAATCGTCAAAGGTGGGTGGTTTCATTTTCATTTTCCTAAACCCCCTCCCCAACAGAGACCTACTCACAGGGCAATGACAGGACTGTGTCCAGCTATGAGACATTGCTTCCTAACATTTCAACCCTTATGATTGCACAGCCTACCCCAGTGTGAGATAATCAAATCTTTCTATTGGATTTCCCTCACACAGTAAGTCCAGATGCTGGTATCCTGCAAAAACTGCACAATCCAGCATGGCTGAAAGAAGAGACACATGTCAAAACTCTTTGTCAAATATTGGTTGTTCCATTGAGACTGTCCAGAGGAGTTCAGGACAAAAAGCTTCAACAAAATGTCTCTTCTTACAGCAACAATCCACTTCTGCCAAGTAATTAACTTTCCCTTTATTTGCTCATGTGGTGTGGGTATCACTGGCCATTTATTGTCCATCCCTAATTGCCCTTGAACTGCGTGGCTTGCTCAGCCATTTCAGAAGGCAGTCACAAGCCACATTGCCATGGATCTGGACTCACAAGTGAGCCAGACCAGGTGAGGAATACAGATTTCCTTCCCTAAAGGACATTAGTGAACCAATAGGTTTTTACAATAATCAATGACAGTTTCATGGGCACTGTCACTGAGAGTAGCTTCCAATTCCAGATTTTATGAAGTAAGTTTAAATTCCCAAGAGTTGCTTTTGTGGGGTTTGAACCTAGGTCCCCAGAATATCATCCTGGACCTCTAGATGAAGAGTCTCGTGCTATGGTAGATAAAGACAGGGAGGGGTGACAGGGTAGAGGTGTACATTAATGAGGAAATGGGTGATGAGAAGCGTGGGTAATGGTGGATGTGGGTAATGGGGAAAGGGATTATGGGAAAGGGTGATAGGGAGGAGGTGTGGGAGAGCGGATGATGGGGAAGGACTACTAGGGAGGAGGTTTTAAGGAAAAGGTGACTATGACAAAATGATGTTGAGGGGTTGATTGAGGGATATATGATGGGGGAGATATTGATGAGGAAGGGGTGATGGTGAAAGGGTTAACGTGAGGGGATGATGGATCTTTTGCAATGAGCAGCAAAGTAAATTTCAGAACATGTACCCTGTTTCCACCAACTCATTTTCCCTACTGCCTCATGCTGTGCTCCCTCAGTGCCCTACCCTTTCACTAACTCCGTGAATTGGTCTCTCCCCGTCACCCCTGTTACCTCTCACCCTGCCGACTGGTTTGGTGCTTATTGTGTACGGAGTTGAACACCCAATTAGTGAGTATTAGAGGCTATGGGAAATCGTGGAAAGGAGCTGGATTCTGGCAACAGCATCCGTATTCATGGTTATCCAGCAAAGATTGTCATTAGGACTGGGCACCCTGGTGGGTTTACTCCTCTCTAAACCCAGTGCCACTGATGCCGCCTAATTTTATTTTTTTCCCAAATGTTTTCCCCTCCCTGCTCCATTTGTGGGATTTCAATAATGATCTGTGTGACCTGAACCATTTCAGGAAGTTTAAACACCTTGGATCTCAACAGTCCTGAAAGAGCTGTATGATATGGTTAATGACTGAGTTTGAAGGTCTCGGGATGTGTGATGGAATTTGGTGGAATAGTATGTTAGTCACAATGGTTTTTGGGGCACGAGCCATAGTCAGGACAGACAACATAAGCTTCAAGTATGGAGTAGGATAAGTAGGCCGTTATCCTTAACAGATCCTGAGGAAATCCATAACGTAGGAGCCATGGGAAGTAAAAACATTCTTGACACAGATGTATTTGACACTGACATCTAATGATAGAAGTGAAAGATTTTACAACCATTAAATCCCTCAGACTTTAGTGAGAACCCGATTCATTGTAATTAGAGTTCTCACAATATAGGTGGGTGGGGGTAGGGGGAGAAGTTGTTGGGGAATGATGTTTGTTTTAATTGAACAAAGAACGGTCAGGATCTAATTGGTATCACCATGATGTTGCCTACTCTAATTCTTGTTTAAACAAACACTTCAACTCTTTTAAAGTCTCCTGATTATTATTTCCACTGTTAATCTCTTCAGTGTAAAACTCAAGGAAATTTGCCATTTTTAGTCTCATCAAGTTTCAGTGGGGTGTTTTGAGTGTGTGTGTGTGTGTGAGAGAAAGAGAGAGTGCAGGAGGGATTTGGCAGGCAGACAGTGTTTCGTAACAGAAAGAAGCAGAAAGGGAAAACATCCGACACATCACCCACTCTCCAGTCACAGCTTCCCAGCTCCTCACAGCCACTCTCTGAGGATTAGCACCTGCATTGTGCTGCCTCCCCTCAGAATTACAAGAGTAAACGATTTTTGACAGAGCTGTCACTTCAGTGTCAGAATGGCCTTGAAACTTGTGTTAAAGTGACATTTTAGAGCTTCTGTCTTTTAGCAATTTGACCTCACTCTTCCAGTGTATGTGAGTAGTGATTGTTTATTCTACATTATTTTAATCTCTATTTTTGCCTGATTCGTGTTTCAACAAACTTCTTTTTTTTAAAGAATGCAGATGTCTAGAATTTGGCTCTTTAGATTCATTGGATTTTGATTCTGAAATCCCAGCTGGCCATGAATTCCATGCTGCCCACTGTAGTGATACTCCTGTTGGCCCAGATGTCGCAGACTCTTCCTAGCCTTTACCACAGGGGCTGGCTATGGCTGCTGCAAGAAGGAGATGGCTGTGGAGTGTGCCAGCAAGATCTATGCCCCGAGCCCCATGGGTGTGTTGCTGGGACAGTGCTGGACGTGTGTGACTGCTGCCCTGAGTGTGGAAATGCCGAGGGGCAAATCTGCGATCTCGATAACACCAACCACTTCTATGGAAGGTGTGGAGAAGACCTGGAGTGTCTTCTTGACACCAGCAGTACCTCGTTTGGAGAGATCCTAGAACCCCAGTGCACCTGCCGATCCCAGGAAAGCGTGTGTGGATCCAATGGAAAGACCTACAGCAACATCTGTAGTTTCAAGGAAGCGTCTTACAGGAACAGAGAAAGCACTCTCAGTCTGGCACACATGGGACCCTGTGAGACAGGTGACCAATTTATAGTTTCTGTATCCATATTGCCTGTCTTGTTTTCGTGGAGAGATTTTCAGCACTGTTTACATCTGCACTGAAAACAAAAGTGCTGGCGATCATAAGAGATCAAGCAGCGTCCATGGAGAGAAAGCAAGCTAACATCTAGATGACTCTTCTTCAGAGCTGGGTGATGTGAAGTGTGGAGGAGGCAGCATTTATGCAATAGTTGGGGGTGTGTTGGAGTGCTGAGGGAGAAAGAATATTGATGTGATTAGAATGTGAGAATGGCAGAACAATGGTGTGCCACTGCTAGACTGGAAGGAACAGTCAGTCCCACTGGAGTGGGGGAAGGGGGCGGGAGGACATGGTGACAGAGAATATAACAAGTAAAGCTAAAATAAAGGGAAGGAATGAGAGTGAGTTCACAATCTGAAGGTGTTGAACTCAGCATTGAGCCCAGAATGTTATAAAGTGCTTAGTCTGAAGATGAGACGTTGCTCCTCGAGTTTTCCATGTAGTTTGCTGGAGCATTGTAGCATGCCGAGAACAGACAAGTGGGCATGTGAGCAGGACATCTGCATCTAGTTTATGTAGAACAATGCTGCCACGCATTGATATTGACATCCTTTGTGGGATTTCGCTCAATATGCCTACAAAATGTTTCAGCCTATCATCCTATTCTAGACATGGGAATTGATACATACAAATTAATTACAACAAAGAGACATTCTAAAAATTATTTAATCTGAATTTATCAATGAACTTTTGTGAGTCATATTGTACAACTGAGTAAAATACGCATTACAGAGAGGGCATGACATAATAATCATTAACAGATCTAGAAGAGGTCATTGGGTGAAAAAGAGAGCACTCCATGTTACAATTCATTGGGTGTAATTGAAGGCACTGTGTGTTACAAATCCCAGGTAAAATGGAAAGCACTGTGTGCTGTAGATCATGGTATATAATAGAGGGCACAGTGTATTACAGCTCATTGGTTGTAACAGAAAACAGGTTTGTAAGTCACTGGGTATAATAAATGGAATGATGTATTACAGCTTCTTGGATATAGTAGAGAGCACTGTGTATTCCGACACAGTGAGTGTAATTGATGGTACTGTATATTGCATCTCTTTGGGTATAGCAGACAGACAATGTATTACTGTTTGCTCAGTGTAATAGACAGAATCTCAGTGAGTATAAAGGAGAGCACTGTCTGTTCCAGATCACCAAATGCAGCTGAGAGCATGGTTTATTACAGTCACTAGGTGTAGTTGAGAGTACTGGTTATTAGAGCTTACTGTCTATAAGAGAGAGCAAAGAGTATTACAGTTTATTGGATATAATAGAATGCACTATGTCCTACAGCTCACTCGATAGAATGAAGGGCATTCTTTATCATAGCTCACTGGTGTGTTATTATTATGTGTTACAGTTTACTGGATGTGATAGACCATAACACCGTAGGAAATAGGAACAGTAACAGGTCATTCGGCCCCTTGAGTCTGCTCCGTCATTCAATAGGATCATGGCTGATCCGAAACTCTCATCCACTTTCCTGCCTTTTCTCCATAGTCCTTTATTCATCGACTGATCAAGAATCTATCTATCTAAGCCTTAAATATACGCAAGGACTCTTCCCCCACAGCTCTCTGTAGCAAAGATTTCCAAAGTCTCTCAAACCACTAAGAGAAGAAATTCCTCCTCAACTCAGTCATAAATTGACACCCCTTTATTCTGAGACTATGCCTTTGGCCCTACACATTCCGATGAGGGGAAACATCCTCTCAGTGTTTATCCTGTCAATCCCCTTAATCCTACCTATTTCAATGGGATCATCTTTCATTCTTCTAAATTCCAATAAGCAGAGTCCCAAACTGTTTAGCCTTTGCCCATAAAACAATTCTTCCATACCAGGCACCATCCTAGTGAATCTTCTCTGAACTGCCTCCGATGAAATTATATCCTTTCATAAATAAGGGAAACAAAACCAGCACCTGGCTCTGTGGCACAATAGGTTAGTGCATTTGGCGGGTAATGGGAAGGTTTGTGGTTCAAAACCGCCCAGAGACAAAAGCTGATCATATTTTGGGTGGCACAGTGGCTCAGTGGTTAGCACTGCTACCTCACAGCACCAGAGACCCGGGTTCAATTCCACCCTCGCGTGACTGTCTGTGTGGAGTTTGCACATTCTCCCCGTGTCTGCGTGAGTTTCCTCCCACAGTCCAAAGATGTGCTGGTTAGGTGGATTGGTTATGCTGAATTGCCCATAGTGTTCAGGGATGTGTAGATTAGGTGGGTTACAGGCAGATGGGTCTGGGAGATTCGGTGTGGACTTGTTGGGCTGAAGGGCCTGTTTCCACACTGTAGGGATTCTATGAAAATCACTCACAGTACTCCAAATGCAATCTCACTAGCACCTTGTACATTTGCAATAACCCTACTCTTATATTCCAAACCCCTTCTAATAAGACCCAATATTCTCTTAGCTTTCCTGATTACCTTTTGCACTTATGTCCTAGCTTTCTGTATTTCATGCACAGGTACTCCCAAGTACCATTGTGTAAATAGACAGCAGTATGTATTACTACTTAATGAGTGTAATAGAGACCATTGTGTGTTACAGTTAGCGGAATGCCAAAGGGAGCACTGTGTATTGTAGTTCACTAAGTTTAGCTCTGTTTATTACAACTTACCATCTGTCATAGAGACCATACCGTATTACAGCTCACTGGGTGCATTAGAAGGCACTATGTTATACACCACTGAGTCTAATATAGTTCATGTATATTACAACTCACTGGGAGTAATTGAACGTATCTTTTTTATTTTTGTATTTTTTTAATTGTGGACTGAAATGAGAAAAGAATTATTTTGAAATGGGGATTGCAAGGATTGCTGCAAGGGTTGAAAGCAAGTCAAATTATCCTCAGTGTGAACACTGTTTGCACAGCTGCAAGTTACTTCAGTGATTATAGACAAACTGGAGCTGAAGGGCCATTAGAAATGAAGCTTCGGTGTACAACAAGTAGCTGATTGGTTTGTGGACTAAAGACTACTTACTAATGACAAAGTCATTTGCTTGCTAATAATCATATGGCTGGTGCTCAAGCAGGTGAACAACCTGGGGCTATGAGCAAGGTACCGATAAGCCCTTGGACTGAAACCATCCCAGCAGCTCTGTCCTTGTTCTCTACAGAAAAAAGCTTCTTTAAAATCCTAAAGAATATCAGATTATATTTCATAAAAACCAAAAGAACTGTGGATGCTGTAAATCAGGAACAAAAACAAAGTTGCTGGAATAGCTCAGCAGGTCTGGCAGCATCTGTGAAGGAGAAAACAGAGTTAATGTTTCGGATCTGGTGATCCTTCCTCAGAATTGTTCTGAGGAAGGGTCACCGGACCCGAAACGTTAACTCTGTTTTCTCCTTCACAGATGCTGTCAGATTATATTTCCTTCAGCTGTTGCTATACATTGTGAATTTTAATTCATAAGCCAGATGCCTTTTATAAGAGAACCAGCTATCTGTGCCTTTTACAAATTAGTGAAAACATTCGAAGAAGAATGACTGAGAAGCAGCATTATAATCAGCATAAGAATCATAAGAATCATCTCATCAACCTTTGTGAACAAGAACCATTGAACTACTTTCCCAGTTTTCCCTCTGTCAATGACCCATGTAGATTGTTTTGTGTGTGTGTGTGTGTGTGTGTTTAACAGGGAGTTTATAAGGTGACTAGACTTTTAATTAGTAGACTTTCTACAGGCGTCCCAACAGCCAGCGGGAGATAGAGGAAAAAATATGTAGAAAATTTTCAAAAGATGTTAAAACAGCAGGGTGATGTGGTGGGTGATTTTAACTTCCCCCATATTGACTGGGACTCACTGTGTGCCAGGGATTTGGATGGGGCAGAATTTGTATGGACCAATGAGGAGGGATTCTTGACACAATATGTAAATAGTCCAATCAGGGAAAGTGTTATACTGGAGATAGTGGGAACTGCCGATGCTGGAGAATCTGAGATAACAAGGTGTAGAGCTGAATGAACACAGCAGGCCAAACAACATCAGAGGAGCAGGAAAGCTGGCATTTTGGGTCTGGACCCTTCTTCAGAAATGAAGAAGGGTCCAGACCTGAAACGCCAGCTTTCCTGCTCCTCTGATGCTGCTTGGCCTGCTATGTTCATCCAGCTCTACACCTTGTTATCTCAGGTGTTATATTGGAAGTGGTTTTGGGAAATGAGCCCAGCCAGGTTAGTGAAGTTTCAGTGGGGGAGCATTTTGGGAGTAGTGACCATAATACCATGAGTTTTAAGGTACCTGTGGATAGGGATAAAAGCAGTTCTCAAGTGAAGGTGCTAAATTGGGAGAAGGCGAACTACAACAATATTAGGCAAGAGTCAGAGAATTTTGATTGGACGCTGCTGTTTGAGGGTAAATCTACATCAGACATGTGGGAGTATTTCAAGCAGCAATTGATAAGAGTTCAGGAGCATCATGTTCCTGCGAGAATGAAGGATAGGTATAGCAAGTTACGTGAACCTTGGATGACCAGGGATGTTATGACCTTGGTCAAAAAGAAAAGGGAAGCATATGTAATGCCTAGGAGGATGGGAACTGATGAAGTCCTTGAAATACATAAGGAAAGTAAGAAAGAATTTAAACAAGGAATTAGAAGGACTAAAAGAAGTCATGAAAAGTCATTAGCAGGATTAAGGAGAATCCCAAGCCTTTTGATACTTGTATAAAAAGCAAGGAGGTAGCCAGGAAAAGGGTTGGCCAACTCAAAGTAAAAAAGATATACGTGTGGAACCAAAAGAGGTACATGAGGTCCAAAACGAATACTTCATGTCGGTATTCACCAAAGAGAAGGAATTGGTGGAGGATGATCTTGGGGAGGGAAGTATTGAGTTTCTAAGCCAAGTTGCTATTAAAAAAAGAGGTGTTATGCATCTTAAAAAGTATTAAGGTAGATAAGTTCCTGGGTCCTGATGGGATCTATCCCAGAACATTG